CAGTGACCCACTAATAGATTCTATTCATGTTGCTGTTACCTGCTATCATTTGAATGATATGGAACCGTGTAACCTGTTCCATACACTTCATACTTCTAACTAGCTGCCAATATATTAATTTACTTTTGACTTTTTCAACAAATGTGTTTTACTTTCAGTCAACTCTCAGAATGTTTCAGAAAAACTCCCTTTTCAGAGTGCAGTTTTGGGCACAAACGTAATCGCTCTCACGTTCACCGATATACGATTTTCCTGGAAATTTGCTCCTTGCTGATCGTCGGTGATAGCTTGTTTGTCTCGTGTGTCCATTATAATTTCGTCACCTCATCTAGATCAATGATTTTCACTGTATATATGTTCTTCTGTAGTCTATATGAGTCGATGTCAACCCGGGAATAATTTGTTCCACTCTTCGTTATTCATGGTTACTTAACAACTGGATCAAAATGGTTATTAGTATTTGTTTGCCTCATATTTACGGTTAAGCTACTTTCTAGATCCAATTCTATTGAATGAGTGGAAAGTTGGGCTGTGACCATACTTCGTATTACAAGCTGAGCAACCCTCGCAGTTTTGTGTTTAATTTAACGAGTTCTGCTAGCTCGTCCCGATAGAAAGCATTACGAATTTGAATCGTGTTGCCGTCTGTAGCACACACGTGCCCTTGCCCCAGCCGGGATTTAGGCTCCGATCCTTGTGTTTGTTCGTTTGCGTGTGTTTACCATTGATCGCAGACAAGGCACAATTGAATCAACGTGCGCCTACAATTGCTTGCGAGTAATGCTGGATTTGCCCGGTCGTTTCGATCATTACGGAATGTGTATACTTGATTTTCCCTATATCATGAAGCCCTCGTTCTTTTGTTATCAACAGATATTACAGAGAAGTCATTTTTATCCGGATTATTGTGGCTACATCTGTTTGTCCTTAATACTGATCCATACTTTCCTCCTACCATTTATGTGCGCCAGATTTCACTCTTACTTTTCCTTGCTGTACGTCTTCTTTAAGCGCGTTCTGTGCTTGAAATATTCTCGAGGGTAGTGCAAGTGAGCCTACGCAACTTTTTGAACAAGCATTATGTGGTGAAAATCTATTCGATTCACCGCTTATCCAAACCTCGACACAGTTGATCTAACATGAGGCCAATCCAACCGTCGCGTTAGACACTACATCAGGATTGGACGGACACTCTTGATGTTGCGCCTTTCGTTGTGCGCCAATTTCTTTGTGCTCTATTGCACCAATTAACTTACAGTT